TATTTAAATTAATATAAAAAGATACTTAAGTTAGAAATTTTCATTTTTTATATTACCTTGAATCTCCGTTTGTTCAAATATAAAAAATCAATCTTCCCATTTACATAACTTCATTCTAAAATGTCCCACAAGAATCATTATTTTGATCATCAAGTTAACAAATTCTTATGAAATTATTTTTTTTATCTGTTCCATGAGTAAGACACGTAAAAGGATGAAAGCATACAACAGAATCTATTCTTGTGATATTAAAGAGATTAAATCAAGTTTTGCTTTTTAATATTACAAATACTTCTCGAAAGCACATCGCAACACCATTACTCCAATCTGACTAATTAACTGCCATACTAATCCATTATCTATTGCCTCCGGTAGCTTGAGACGGCAGGTGGGCCGGCGGGCACGCAAACCTTAACTTCACCAGCGAGGAGAAACCCCCGTTTGACATTGTTGCACACCGTGATATCCCACTCCCATGGGTGGTCTGTTGACAGCAGCCTGTTCTAGAGATTGCACCTGTTTCTTCAAGAACTTGACGTAATGAATTGCCTCATCCAACATGGAAGCCGTGTCCATTTTTGTTCCTCCGGGGACCATTCTCTGAAGTATCCTTATCCTCTCACTTATCCGTTCCCGTCTATGCCTCGCAGCCACGCTCTGTGGATCCTTCGAGATCTTCACGTTCCTTCTCTTCGGAGGCTTGATGGATTCCGGGTCAATATGGATTGGCTGCATTGCGGCTATGTGAAAGATCATCTCCCTCATTGTTGCCATGGAGTTTCTCTTATCCGAATAAGAATTCGGGTTTGAGAAGGCATCCGGATACTTGGACTTGCCTGTGACCATGTTAGGTTGGAGAGGTGGATTCCTCATGGGTTGTTGAACAGGGTTTCCCATGAAAGGTTGTAAGCTTATAAAAGGATTAAGCTCGGAAGACACATTTGGACACTCTAAAGTTTTGTTGGGATCTTGTTCATTAGTGTCGGTATGATCATACCCTGTAACAGTATCATTATAGAATTGGCTTTCAGAAAAGATGGAGGAGTTGTGGAAAGGTTCACCGAAGTCAGGAAGCTTTTCCATCTGCATCATCATTGTCATCACGTCCATGTGATCTTCTGATGATTTCATCATGTCCACATCCATGGAATACTCCCTTCTTTATCTCTATGGAATGGGCGACGACTGAAGATGGAGATGGGGAACTCAGAAGTCGGCAATGATAATCTGAGAAACAGGGTAGGGGGTGGAACTAAAGATGGAGCTTTATGGAATTAGGGTTTTATGAAATACCTGCAGAAGTGCAGAGGGATAAGGAAATAAACTTTTTTCTTTGAAAAAAAAAAAAAAAAAGCTTATTTAAAAGTACCACCAACATCCTGCAAGCTATGAAAGGCTTTTTATAGCAACTTGTGATTGCGACCCATTTTTTTAAAATGATAAAATGCAAAGCTCATTTATGATTGAATTTATGATTTCTGTGATGGGGACCGCCCATTTTGTGGGGCTAACTCTAATAACAAATCATCACAGCCGTTTGATGCAATGACTTCCAACATCAACCTAAAGTCGAACCTATAAATGTACTGATCAGACCGTTCACCCCACAAAATTGGACGGTTGAGAGATTAAAGAGATGGATCAAATAAGGTGCATAACTTGAAATATGAATTTATTAATAAATAAGTGTTACTTAAGTAAATTTAGAGTTTAAATATTATGAGTATTATTTGAAGAGATTAATCTCTTTAAGTATATTATTAATATAAAAGAAATGTTTTTAAAATTATTTAAATAAAAATTAATCTCAAAATATATAAAAATTTAATTTATAAGCAACTTAACAATAAACAAAAATAAATAGATAAATAAAGAAAGTGCATGGACCGCTTTATTTTATGGACCCTCTCCCTCTCTCAGTTTGAGTTTTTTGAGTGCCTTACCCCAAAAAAAGGGTTTTGCTTTCTCGGAAAAAAAGACCATGAACCCCCACGGTCACATGACATCTGCCAGAACATCAACCCCTCACCGGAATCCGGTGGCGATGACCTGGAAAATCAAGATTTCCTGTGGTTCCGAAAGAGACAATTGGACAATGAAACTGTGAAAGTTATATCAAAATAAACAATAGTGTTTCTTAACCAACGACACTGCTGTATTATTCGACCCTGAGAAGATATACTGACCAGTTTTGGTCGCTGGCACGCATTTCAAGGTGGATTAGGGTGCAACGGCGATACCAGTTTATTAGTTTTCATGAACTCGTGAAGAAGGAAAATTACAATAGATCAGATGAATTTAGAAAGCTGCTTAATTCATAAGCTTGTTCAATTTAATTAAGAACCAGGCAAGAAAAATTAATATACTTTTAATTAATTAATATCGACATGATATATTAAAAAATTAATTTTTTAATTATTAATCTTAAAATTTAAATTTATCGCATAAAATAATACTTGTTTATTAATATATAATCCAACCTGTAAGATTCACATGTGCTTGATTCATTAAGAGTTTATTGGTCTGTTTTTTCAACTTGAATCAAGTTGTTTCTTTAGTCAGTGCAAAGATGAAAACCTTATCAGTTATCATTGGAGCAATTTAGGGACGATCTAAAGGAGCATCCATGAATGTACTTTACGATTTTGATTATAAATTGCACCGTCCAAACGCATCTGATACTTAGATATATATAATATAAACATAGAATTTTCCCCATTCCTATTAAGATTGAAAGCAATTTTTGTTCATGCACTCAAGTTATAATTGTAATCATAAAAGCACAAACTTATCTTCGCAGCCTTTTCAAGCACACGTATGCTTCCTTAGTAGGGCCTCAATTTTAATTCTTCTTAAGCCTCGCATCCTCTCTTCCGGGGACCAACAATCAAAGATAAGGAGGAAAAAAAGAATCGAATTCAAGAAGAAAGAATTAATGAAGGAAAAAATCACATGTCAATGCAAAAAATTAATTTCTCACTCTGAATTGTTCTTTTTTTTTAAAAAAAAAAATGCAAGTCCCAAATATTTAAATGTAAAATGATTCTTTTTTTTTTTTTGGTTAACAATGATTTGAATAAGTACAACTCTCTCTGTCACTTGTTTTTCTTACAAGTTGAACCACTTTTTTTATTTATAATAATAATAATAATAATAAAAGAATTACTAAGCAGATAATTGCAAAAATGCTCAGAAAGTGGTCCCAATTGCATCATTTTCTGTTCTCAGTACAAATTTAAAAAAATTCTTGATCTCTTTACATATATGCCTGAAATGACACCAACCAAGAACTCCAATGAAGAATGAAACTTTTCAGACTGTTTGCCTCTGCTCATCCAAAATTCCATAACTCCGTTTAACATTACTCGAGAAACAAATCCTTCTTAATGCCTATTCACCGAAAGAAAAGCAACACGAAGAACACTTCGATATTTGAATTTAACAAGGAATGTGGAAAGCTGGCCTATATCATGCTATAGGGTCACGGTGATGTCCACTATGATGTGTGCAACACTTTCCAATTGAACAATCCTCCTACCAAGCATAATAATAATCACTGTTGGTTCATAAATGAAGTTGTGTCAACTCTATGGAAAATGGGAAATTGGAGCACGGGGATGAGGACGGGGGCACTTTCTTGAAAACTATAGGTGAAGAAAATTCAATGTCTTCACGTAATTGATTATTGCAACGTAGTTGGGTTGGGAGGATAAGTTTTGGGTCCAGCTGGGTTATGATTGGGTTGAAAATTGACATTATATATATATATATATATAAAAATGCATCTTGCTCCTATATCTGCTACAATTGTTGACAAAGTGAGGAATCTAGATGACGATATAAAAAACAACCGGCCGAAATTCAGAATGGACAACAAAGTCTAGTAACAACACGGCACCGGGATTGAGTTCATTCATCGATTAATACGATTGTCGTGGTATGAATGTTGCATATGAGATTATAAAAATTTATATAAATGAATCGACTCGAGTTGAGTATTAAGGTACTAAATTTGAAATCGAGTTATAGTTATCCATCCCAAGAGCTTCAAATAACTTAGCTAGCCCATCTTTAATGGACCAGATCGAGTGACCGACCTAAGATACTCAAGTTTATAAAAGCAGTTTTCCAAGGGCCGATTCATTGGGCCCATAATGGGCTCGTATTCATCTATAGTTAGCCCAGATATTACAAAAAAAAAAAATCTATATTTAAACCAGATGCCCCAGCCACTGTGAATGGGCCAGGCCTCAGTTTTGCCGCGTTGCAGCGCACCGACCGGCCGCGTCCCATCCTTATCCGACATCCGTCCGTTTCGCCGCATGTCTTGCTTTCCATCCTGGAGGGGACCCCCACGATCTCATCACACCACGTTATACAATGCATCCGATTCTGACACATGGCAATGACCCCACACAGAGTCCCACACATCCTAAAATCAACGGTCACCGCAATTCTGTAACAGTGGATCCGTGGACTCATGATCACTCCTCCGAGCAGAAACCGAGGCGCATTGATGAGTGTAGTCAAAATAGTAAATAATGGATAGAGTAATTTATTATTTATCATG